TGTGTGTGTGTGTGTGTGTGTGTGTGTGTGTGTGTGTGTGTGTGTGTGTGTGTGTCAATTGCCATAAATTATAAATATATTTGAATTAATAGTAGAGCAAAATTTATTCCTATGAAATTAAATTTTTCTACATAATATGAAATTAAAGTTAACTTCAAATGATTAAACTAAAAAAGTTAAATATAAACTAACTAAAAGTAAAGTATATTTTGATGTTATGATTGTGACAAATCACTAGTTATGAGCTAAATTAAGTTATTGTAGATCCCCCAAAATGAATGGGAGGTAAACCTTTTTTTTTTTCTTTTTGTTATATATGTCTAAATGTTGTCATCTTCCTTTCCAATATGTGTGGTCCTAGATATATTACGTAAAGGATAAAAGGAGAATAATATGACAAATAATAAAAATTATTTCAAATAAAGTTCAAACCTCAATCAAACATGAATTCAACTAATGCTTCTATAATTTTAAATTCTTGTGTACATAAACATACTCCTATAGTTGGGATGAAATTAAAGGGGGCCTATATAAAAGAAATAATAAGGATTCTTAACTAGGAAAAAAATTAGTGAAAAATATGGATCTATTAGGGAGACACTTGTCTTCTAAAGGGTGACAACTTTTGAGAAGCCAATACCTATTATAGATCATCAAGTATAGTGTTGTGGCTCACTTTTTGAATGGGGACAAATTAGAAATGAAAGATTAGATTTTCATTAAGAAAACTTTTTTAACAACCTAGGAGGGTATAGGGACTTGGAATTTTGGGTTAAAATATTTCACCTTTAAGAAATCCTAATAATAGGTCAAGAGTATGCGAGCCTTAGGTTTGAAACTTATTAATAAGATAAAGTTGAAAGAAGAACCAACGAGTTTAGAGTTAGAAGATACTCAACGAATAAGACTGGCCCGATATAAGAAAAAAGACCTAGTGATTTACGAATAATAGGGAACTTGAGAGGAAGGGTGTTTAACATAAAGAGAGGAGCCAATTAGCTCATGTGGCACATTGGCAAACATGGATAGAAGAAGTACGTGTTTTCGCAATCATATCAACAAAAAATGAAAAAGCATGGGTTGCTTTCATAGTCCTTTTTCTCTTTCACAATAGAACAAAAAATTTTGTTGGGCGAGAATGATAATAATATCATCCTAATTTTTTTCTCATTTGATTGATGTATTTAATTAAAATTTATTAATTTATTTTTGTTGGTCTTGTCTAACTCTACCTTATGCCTTAGCTTATCTTCTTAATGACTTGATTTTTATTGATACCTCGATGAAGTCATCATGAGAAAATTCCCCTGAACAAAGATAATTTAGATCTGTAATAAGCACATTAGTCTTTATCACATGATCACCTAATATTTTTTGAACTCTCATGTTAAATCATGTTGATTTCTTATTTTTATTGACTTTGTTGCCATTAACCTTATTGAAAATGCAACTTGAGTCATATATTGGGAAAACTCTTATGTTTATTAATAATATATTTGTTATATAATCTACTAATGTGGTTTTTTAATTTCTAGAAGTTAAAGGATATCTCGTAGATCATAATTATGAGGATGTGTAATTATAACCCATGACATTTTGTACAATAATATAACCCTTATCAAAGTGTCAAGCCCATTTTGGTCATCAATATCATCCCATGCTTTTATTAAGCCCTTTTACTTAGCTAAAAGAAAAATGGGATCAATAATAACTACATTCTTCATATTTATTCTAAAGAATTTTGGAGATTATATTTTTCTTTCTAACCCATAATCATCATACCAATATTGAATAATATGTGCACCTTGCAATACTAATACATTGGTCATAGGGCTCTAATTTTGAAGTTTCCTCTCACATTCAATTCTAATATCATAAGGGAGAGGAAATCTATGGGTTATTTTTCCTTGATCACCTCCTAAATTATGAAGGGTAAATCTAACTAAAAAGAGAACAGATTTGATGCACAAAACTTAAAAGAGGGGCTAATCTTTATTATTCGTTTAGAGAAATCAAATTATTTTCAAACTTTTAGTCATGGCAGTTTATACACTTTTTAACATGAATGTTGATCTCTTTTCTATCATGCTTGACATCTATTAAATTATCTTACCTAACAGCTATCACTTGGAGGAGGTGATTTGACTAATTAATTTTTATCCACTAATAAAATACTATCCAAGCAAGGATTGAATAAGTTTACTAATTGTTTTAGCAAAAGAAAATTTATTATCAAATAAGTGGAAATAATAAAAATAATGGAAATAGAATATGGTACTCTAATGGAATAATACTTAACATTATTAGCTAGAATAGTTAATTTTTTTACTAAAGTATAAATTATTGGGATTATTATTTATTTTCACTTAAGCATCCAATTCATGTTGGTTTTTTTTTGTATCGGCTGTTCATCACACATCTTAGAAGATTTCTATCTAAATAATCAAATACATCATTTTCACAAATAATATACTACCCTGAGGGATGGAAGTATTACCTTAAAATAGACATAATCATTTAGATAAGAACAATCTTTGATATTTATCGTTCAATGCAACCAAAGGTTTTTTTTCCTACATCACAAGTGTAAGATAGAATTTATTTTATTCTAGAACCTGGTATCTCTAAAAGAGCTAGCCCTCACAATTAAGTATATCACCAAAATTATGGCTTTTGAGAATACTCTCGATTAAAATTTTGGCTTATATCATGAAGAATTATAAGATAAGGGTCTTAAAGATTGATATTTTAGGAACTCAGATTGATGGATGGGTTTGAATAGATTTGCTTGGAATTGAAAGATTGTGATTGATAGTCTGATTACGGTGTGTCATAGAAATACAAAAGAAATGAATTAGTTGATTCCTTAAAGGTGAATCCTGAGAATTAGAATTATAAATTTATTAAAAATAGTTGAATTTTGATTTGAATTTGATTTAAAAAAGTTTGATTGAGTTTGATTATTTTTTCAAGTTAAAAAAGTTTGTGTTTTTGTTTATTTTTTCTCTTTTTTATTTTAAAAGGAGTCGTGAGCTTATCGATTATCGTATCATTCCCTTATTTGAATAAATCTCCCTCTTAAATCATATCAGTGATTCAAAGAGGAGAGGAATCGAATAAGAAGGGACATACGACAAATTGACAAACAAGAGAAAAAAATGTAGAGAGTCTACGTGCAAAAAACCTTGCAATGATAGGTCAAGAATGTTTGCCAAAAAAAAATTGATAGAGGCAACTTGAACCAACATCCGTGAAAGAAGTATCTACATAGATTACCCATAACCAAAGAGTAAGCTGTATGTACCTATTATGGGGTGAAGAGCACTCTCAAAAGGAACATTTTCGTATTGGTTAATTACATCTTGGGGGATACCCAAAAATACTCTTGAAAAAAAAAGTTTCACTTTATATTATCATAGACCTGGGGTTAAGTAATCAAAGGAAGATTATTTCATGTTGGAACACTACTATGCTTCAAAGCTCTCACTAAGTCATCGGGCAGAGAGTGAGTCTCTCACATCACAAAAGAGTAGCGGCTCATAAGCTCGCATAGCCCGCAGAATAACTATAAATCATCTTGATGGGGATATCCTAACACATCAAAGCACATCTCAACCATAAGGGCAAAGGACAAGTCATTATATCCTAAACGAACTACAACTCGTCAGCCTAGGGCCATCAAGTTAATATCGACGAAGTCAAGGAGCGAAAGGGCTCAATGGAGGGTAGTCAAAGGAAGGTTGAGTAATCCTAGAAGGTAGAGGTAGTTGGGTTGGGGTACCACAGACCCGTCATCCCAAGCCACTAAGATGCCAAGTCTACTTGGTCATGAAGGTAGTTGGCCCAACACGTCTTGAGATCCTCGGTCAACAATCCATGAATTGTGTCATCCACGGGAATCTCGACAGCCCTAAGGTCAGAGGAACAAAACTCTATTTTATAACCATCGGCTAGATATCCAAGAGGTGGGTCTTACACCTGTCAAAATGTTAAGGATGCCTCAAGAAAGAAAAGAAATCGAGGTTCAGCTACGAAGCTGGAAATGCTCCAAACAAAAAGTCTTACACCCTGTCTGTGTCGGGGAGCATTTTAACAACTTAGGCACACAAGACAACCTCTTTTGTAAAGAGGTATGCTAGGCTAGTCGAGTTAAAGAAACACAAGGGCTCCTCCTCAAGACATGCAAAATATGATGCAATTATTTAGAGAAGTCCTTAATTATAGTGAAGGCTTTATTAGTATGAGTTGGGTGCTAGCCATGCAATGCAAACCATTACAAAGGTCATTCAAGAAAGTAAAAGTGTAAGTTTTAATATTTTAAATATTTTAATTCTAAAATTCATTTATCTTGAATATTTTATTAGGATTTTTATGTACTTTAGAATTTTAAATCCTAAAGATTCTATACTTTATCATGACTCCCAAAGAATAATATGCACAAATACCAGCATACAGGCATGCAATGAAGCAGAATAATAAGCCAAATTGAAATAATAAGAAAGGTTGG